AAGTTGGATGCTTCCACAGGCTCCTGTAATCGGTGACCAGGTGGGAGGTGGTGCTAACAGACATTCAGGGAGATGCCCCGAACACACATCTCCCCAAGCCCCCAACCCTGTGCTCCCTGACCCTGAGCGCACCCTCCCTGGCCAGGTCACACTCACCAGGTGTGAGTGTGGGAGTACACACTTCCCCAAGGGCTTTGGTGGCTGATTTCTGGTCCCCCGGGTTGCTGAGCACACAGGTGAGGCTGGCATTGGGCTGGCTCAGGGACAGGCTCACAGCCAGGGGCCAGGAGTTGGGGGCTGGCCCTGGTTGGGGCCATCCCCCTAGGTCACTGGGGAGGCCCTCGCTCTCCCAGGTCACACTCAGGTTCTTGCTGTGCCCCGTAGTTCCGCACTCCAGGGTGACGTTACACCAGTTTGCTGTGATGGACACTGACTTGATCCGGATCTGGGGAGGGGGCACAGGCTCTGGGCAGGAGGGGACAAAGAACGGAGCCTCAGTGAGTGGGGACATTGCAGGTCACATTCTCATTCATCTGCTCATTCAAACCTGGGCATCCTCCCTCTAGAAGGTGAGAGCATTGGTCAAATTAAATACAATTTACCTAAAGCTAAATATATAGCAAGTGATCATAAGTAAGGGAGTAAGGTAAATCCTATGGCATTTTACCAGATGGAGCAAACTTTAAAATCTTCATAAGAAGACTTAAGAAAATAAAGCTCCATAAGAAAATAGCATGTAGGGCCCTACCTAGATCCAGAAAGGTATGTTCTGCTCTGGCACCCTTGATTTTGCTGCTCAGACAAAATACAAATAGTCCATGGTAAAAAGGACATTTGGAGTTCTGAGTAACATGACAAAAGGCCCTAGGAATCCCTAAGTAGAGAAATGAGATAATTTTATTGAAATATCCTATAAGAGCTTCTGACTACTTAGGACAGGCATAAGACAATGGGTATCCCAGAAGGTCAAGAAAGGGAGACGGAAGCAGAGCGCTCATTCAGAGAAGTGGTAATGAGAAGGAACTGAGGGGACGAGGCCACGGAGTTCACAGAACGCCTGGTTTTCTAAATGTAAAGAGACCTACAATAAACGTAAAAGAGTGAGATTATCAAAATTATAAGAAAAAGAAAGAATATTTCTTTCTTTGGCTAAGGACAAAAAGAAGGTAATACGTAAAGGTACTTCCATCCATCTATTATCAGATTTCTCATCAGAAATCTATCTACAAGGAGAGAGTGAAAGAACATATTCCAAATACTCAAATAATGGTGCCGGAATAAAAGTGAATCTGCAAAAGTCCCTTTCAAATATGAAAGAGAAATTAAGGCTTTTGAGACAAACAAAAGTTGAAGAATTCTCTCCCGTGAGACCTCTCTAACATGAAATGTTGAAAGGAGCTCTCTGCATAAAATGAAAAATACAAACAATCAAAAAATATTAAGGTGATAAGTAGGCACAATAAAAAAGTTAATAAAACAGCAGTAGCATGCCATCCTTTGTCAAGAATCACCCTTCCCATAAATAGGCTGAACTCAAGAATTAAAAGACACAGAGTGATTCTTTGAATTAAAAAGCAAAACTCAACTACACAGTGTCTGAAAAGACTCATTTAAGGTATAAAGACAAACAGACTCAAAGTGAAGGGGTTAGAAATGGTATTCTAAGGCTGAGGGAAATTGTTAAATACTCACTATGCCATTTCAGGTAAAATCGACCTCTAGTCAGAAATGGTAATTTGAGATAAAAATGGATATTATATAATAATAAATCAATGGAGCAATAAGATACAATACTAATTTTATATGCACATAAATTATATGTATATGTATGTGTGTATAGGCATCCAATAAAATACATAAAGCAGATATTAACAGACTTCTAGGGAGACACAGATGGTAACATAATAATGGTAGGGAACTTTACCCAATTTTAGTAGTGAACACATCATCCAGACAAGCAATTAACAAGGAAATACTGGCTTTAAATGACAAGTTAGATGATATATCCTCAATCGATATTTATAGAGCATTCTACCCAAGCATATCAAAATATTCATATCTTCTTAAGCGTACCAGCATATTCTCAAGGATTGATTATATGTTGGGACAAATAACAAGTCTCAATAAATGTATAAAGACTGAGAGCATATAAAGCATATTCTTGGATTACAATGTATGAGACTAGAAATCAAGAAATCACCAAAAAAGAAACCAACAAATACACAGAGCCTAAACAACATGCTAAATGAACTACTACTGGATCAACAAGGAAATCAAAGGAGAAATAAAAAATACCTGGAGACAAGTGAAAATGAAGACACCACTTGCCACGAGCTTTAGGATTCAAAAAAGTGACACTAAGAGGGAGTTTATTCTAACACAAATCTACCTCAGAAGTCATGAAAATTCACAAATAAAAAATGCAAGTTTACCTGTAAAAAAAGAAACTAGTACAGGAAGAAAAAATGAATCCAAAATCAATAGGAAAAGAAGTAACTTGATTGGAATATAAATCGGTGCAACCATTATGAAAAGCAATAGCCAAGAGTTGAAAACAACCAAGTGCCATCAACAAATGGCTGTTGAAAGAAGCGGTGACATCTACAGAGTGGAATACCGCTCAGCCATATAAAAAGATGAAAATTTTTGCCATACGCAACAACATGGATGCCTATAGAGGGTATTATGACTAATGAATAAGTCAGGAGGAAAAGAAGCACCCATGTATTTTAGTCACATGTAGTTCATAAACAAATAAGACAAATTAATGAACTAAATAAAGCTAAAATAAAGTTTGAACCTAGAGGACCATATTAATGATCACCAGAAAGGAAGGAAAA